TTTATTTTTTTTACGCTTAGGATATTGTTATAATTACACTGTTATGTCCTTGTTTTGTATAAGCTTCATAACTTAATAATTCAATATTTCATGGAATGACTCTGACCTTGGCGAGGATCTTTTTTGCAACAAGTGATTCCCTATGTAAAGTGTATGTTGAATGACCCTGGCTTTGTTGTCAAATAATTGTTTGACAGTTGTTAAATATGGGGTTATGTTTTATCTCTGAATGTTTGGGATTAAATATTTTATAAGGACAGTTCTAAGTTGGAAACTCAACTGGGGCCTTTTCAATTGAATTCAATGTACAGCATGTACAGTTTGGACATTTCTGTAATGTGAATGCTCCTTATGTTTGCAGAATGTCTGGATGAATGAATGAGTCAGTCATCTGCACAGCATCAATGGAAAAAGGGAAGCAATGAGGAACAAGAGAAGAGTAGCAGTGAGTGGTAAATATTTGAAATTATTCTGTTTGGTTCATCATCATGATCATGTTCATCTAGCTATTCTGCAAATATTTCTTCAGTTTGCTTGTTCTTTATCACCTGTTGGCATGGATGGCCTAATTATCAAAGGCACCACAACTTGCTGTGCATAGTTGCATCTCTTGGGCTTGACAGAAACCGATGGTCGTGGGTTTGAATCGAGGGTAGCATCATACACTTGCTTGTGGGTTTCATCAAAGTGGTAAACATGTAAGACCTGCATCACTTCGGGCTTTCTTCCCACGTCAAGCTTACATGCCGTGATATAACTGGAATACTGTTCAAAGAGGCGTTAAACCCAATTCACTCATTTAACACCACATCCAGCAATAGTTCGGCTAAATGACAAGGATTATAAATTAATCAAATCTCAAATCTCAACTAGAGAAACCAGAGATTAATGTTATGAGCTCGATCCAGACGCACCGATGATGACTGTTATGGACAACATCCCACGTTATTGGGTACGATTACAAGCTTTCAATGAGCCCACTTGCTACCTCATCTATTACTTTGGCTTGTATGGCAAGCATAGGTTGCTAGGAACATTTTTAAGAGATGTCAGTTAATGATTGTTTCAACTCATCAGCATGGAACAATATATATCTCAAATGTTTGGTATATAACAAAACTCAAAGATGATAAATTAAGTGAATTAGCTGCCTTTTATCTGTAAGTACATGTTGCAACAATTCTTTTCTTTTGCTACAATCTTTATACATAATTTTGCAGAAACTGAAGTCCAGCTTGAGATACCCGGATGACAGGTTGACAGTCTGGAAGGACCCTTCCAGATATCCGAAGTGATTGGCAGACAGCAATGAGGAGAGTCCTGTTATTTCAATGGGAGCCTACCGAGAAGTTATATGCCAATTGACAATGGGACACACTCACAAAAGGTGGTCAGGCTAATGTGAGAAGACCAACCAATGCCAAGTCGGAGTGGGACCCTTCAAGGACGTTGAAGAAATTATTGTCTTTGGCCATGTGGTAATCACTTGAAAGGAATGATGTTTGGGTCCTATAAATGTGGACCCAAACACCAAATAGAATGTTCACAATTCGACTAACACAATGCAACAGGCATACAGCCCATCTGGCCTCCCCTCATCCTGGTTCCTGTTTTTCCATGGCAATATAGAAGGAAAAGGATGTTTGAGGGCAAGTAACTCTGAACTGGTGAGCATGGTCTGCTGATGCTTTCAAGCGAACAGTTATCACGCTCTGTTATGAGTATTGAAGAGTAGGAGGAAAGTGCATACTGCATCAGGAACCATTATGTGAACACTGTTCAATGTGTGATATATGCATATAAATAAAAGAAATTGATAATTTGTTTGTTTCTTTAGCCAGCTGTGTAAATGGGGATTTTCCAATATTTTGCCTCAGTTTGATAGCCACGGTTATCGTATGAAACCATGCATTGCTTGGACATCTTTGGAATAACACATTGATCTGCTATGTCAAAGATCAATGTCACAGCCAGACAAAAAAATTGTTAATGGCCAAACTCTTCCTCAGGGCAGGGATAGAAGTTGGCAACAGGTCATACACTTACTTTTTATCCCCCCCCCCGCCCCCCCCCCCCCCCCCCCCCCCCCCCCCGGCATATAGTACGGGGGATATAGCGATCAGCCTGTCTGTCCGTCTGTCCGTCCCTAATCATTTTCTTTTCCGGGGCAGGATTCCCAAACAATTCAGTGTATTTGACCGAAACTTGGCAACTCTTATTAGGCACATACTGAAGTGGTGCCTTTTGATATTTTGGGATTTTTCTAATTTTTATTTTTTTAAATTTTTATGGAATGAAGGTGGACATAGACTCAATTGGGGATGTGGTTCGTTTCCGGGGCAGAATTCGAAAACTATTCAGTGTATTTGATCGAAACTTGCCAAAGGTATCAGGCACATACTGAAGTGGTGCCTTTTGATATTTTGGGATTTTTCTCATTTTTATTTTTTTATTTTTTTATCGAATGAAGTTGGACATAGACTCAATTGGGGATGGGGTTCGTTTCCGGGGCAGAATTCGAAAACCATTCAGTGTATTTGATCGAAACTTGGCAAAGCTATCATGCACATACTGAAGTGGTGCCTTTCAAATTTTGGGATTTTTCTAATTTTTATTTTTTATTTTTTTTATGGAATGAAGTTGGACATAGACTCAATTGGGGATGAGGTTCATTTCTGGGGCAGAATTCGAAAAAACATTCAATGTATTTGATCGAAACGTGGCATTCATATGGATGTGACCATGGTGGATCTTTTGTGGGTAAACAATGTATGCTTCTTGAAGAACATTCAACTGTTGACTCATTACATACAGAATTGCACTAGTGGTTACTTTACAGACAGCTGCCGGGGGGATATGTCATCTTTCTGATGACTCTTGTTCTCTAATGTGCCTTTTCCTGCAGAAGTCTAAATAACTCTTATACATATAGTTGTATATCATTGTCATATGTTTGTCAATATTACACTGAATGAAGCACTTTATAATTGTTTTTGAAATAGTCGCAACTGATATTGAAGGTCAAATTAGCTTTCAATGTCTTTCAGTAAAAATGTTCACAGTAACTGAGGAACAGCTCTCTGTAGTGTGGTGAAATCTGGTACATGTCACCCTCAGAGTGAGGCATATTGTGTTTCAAACTTAAATGAAGCTGGTATGCTCATAACAAGTACTTGTACCTTTACAAATAATCATATTGTCATCTCACTAGGACCAAAGACCCAAGTGAGCACACGGTCGATGAGTTTATACTTTCACTCAGAATAATCTGGAAGTCTGAACATGAAATTTAAGGATATCATCATACATGTATTAGAAGTGATGTTTGTTCATTAAACAGCTTAACAACTAAAAATAATTATAGATGAAATTGAAAAAAATTGTCTTCTCCAAAAGTACATGCCCATAGATCTCAACTTTAAGTGCATATTTACAACTAAAATGACACAGAATATTACTAGAGCTATCTGATATGCCCAGGCTAACATTATTTACCAGAAATAAGACATCTCGAAAAATTTCATCCGGATACCTTCAGCAATGTTCAATTTTCATGGTTAGTTTCCAATATATATTTAGGTGTTTCACACTTAATTGAACAAAATGCACCCCCAAATTGTGACATGTTTTTTGAAACTCAGAATGAGGTATCCGGTGCCGGATCCTTGGTATCCGGTGCCGGATCCTTGGACACCCAGATTGAGGTATCCGGTGAGGTATCCGTGCCGGACACCCAGATTCCAGGTGGCATACTTTCAGGTGAGGTGTCCATGCCGGATACCACGGATCTGGTATCCGGCAAGGTATCTGCCACCGGATACGCGGGCGCGTTTTGGGTAAGTGTCCGGTGCTATCTGGCAGGTATCCGGATACCGGAAACTGCATTTTTTTTGCTGTGTGGGTTGTATGTTCAGAATCAACCACTGGTTTACCTCCCACATGTTGAGTTGTATGTTCAGTATCAACCACTGGTTCCCCTCTCCAATGCTGGGCTGTATGTTCAGTATCAGCCACTGGTTTACTTACCACATGATTGGGTGTATGTTCAGTATCAACTATTGGCTTGCCTCTCCCATGCTGGGTTGTATGTTCAGTATCAACAACTGGTTTACCTCCCACATGTTGAGTTGTATGTTCAGTATCAACCACTGGTTTACCTCCCACATGTTGAGTTGTATGTTCAGTATCAACCACTGGTTACCTCCCACATGTTGAGTTGTATGGTCAGTATCAACCACTGGTTTACCCCTCATATGCTGGTTTGTATGCTCAGTATCAACCACTGGTTTACCGCTCATATGCTGGGTTGTATGTTCGGTATCAACCACTGGTTTACTTACCACATTCTGGGTTGTATGTTCAGTATCAACCACTGGTTTACCTCCCACATGGTGGGTTGTATGTTCAGTATCAACCATTAGTTTACCTCCCACATGTTGAGTTGTATGTACAGTATCAACCACTGGTTAACACCTCATATGCTGGGTTGTATGCTCGGTATCAACTTTCTTATGAATAAATTTCACTTGTCGTTGCCACACAGTGTTTCTGACACATGGATTTAAGTTGTTTTAAAGTAATTTCATTCATTGTTTGCTAGGCACTACTTAGAAGTTGACGGAGGACAAAGTAGACACAATTTATGGATAAACAACCTCTTTAATACTGTTAAGGCGACGTTTCGATATAGATCCATATACCTTATCCTGTTTAATTGACTACATGTCCCATTGGCCCCCACCTTTTTGTTCTCTGTCCATCATTTTGCGATAGTCTTATCCTGTTGTTGTCATTACTTACCCATATTACCCCTAGCATGTATGAAATTGTTTGTACATTCTGTACAATGTTCCTAAAATTCAGTCTTGCTTGACAACGGTATCAGGAACTATACCGCAACGTCGCCTTGCAGTATTAAATAAGTTATTATCCATTAATTGTGTCTACTTTGTAATTTCATTCGTGTGGATAAGTGTAAAAAAACATCCTTGTTTCAGGACTTATGATGCAACGGGAGCAACAGAAAGAGCCTTTTGATGAACTCAAGGCTGTAAGTACATACTGTCTATGTCTATACTGTAGTCGAATCTCGTTAAGTGGAAATGGGAGAGACCCGCGAAGATCCGCGGTAGAATAGGTCATGCTTACCGTAAAAGGCAACCATGCTTGTAAAAGGCGACTAACGGGATCGGGTGGTCGGGCTCGCTGACTTGGTTGATGAATGTTATCAATCCTTATTGCGTGGATCGATGCTCATGATGACAATCACTGGATTGTTTGATTATTTAAAGACCGTCGTCATGTAGCTGGAATATTGCTGAGTGCAACAAACAAACAAACAAACAACAGGTGAACCAGAAAACAAATCTGCTGATACTTTCTTTCTTTTTATCGTCACTTAAAACGAGATAGCATGAAACGAACAAGTAGGCAATGCATCTGAGTGCGATGTCGGTTCACAGCAATTGATAGGCACATGTAAACATTTGTTAGGCAACGAATGTACATCGTGACACTGATTGGTAATTGCAGCACTTAAATTTGTCATTGTTTACAGAGAGAGCTGCTCATTATAAACATAGGGTTGTATACATGAAATATAATGTCAAATGGTGTTCGAAACATTATTAATGGAAGGTTGTTTTTTTTATTGTTTTTTTTTGTTACTTATTGTGAATAAATAACTTTAAAATACATACAACTCAAATATAAAATAATGTCCAAGCTTTAATTGTAGTAAATTGCAATACATACTACGGTAAATTGTAAAACAATATTAGTCATTAAGAATTGAAAGTCAGTTTGGATGCGTTCATTGAAGTGTGAACGATATAACAGCGCTGGTTAAACTGTGAACCTCCGAGCTTGCGAGGATTTTAAGCACTGGTTAAACTTTCGTGTGAACCTCCGAGCAAGCTCCAAATCAGATCACGTAACCACCCCTTCAATCAATCAGCATGAAAGAAACAGTGTAAACTTCAAAGTATGAAATTGCTATATAGTATATTTGCTTATATACAAAGAAACAATGAAGTTGAAAATGTGGGACTAAGCTGTTTCGAAATCAAAATCCAGACTTTGAAAATATTGAATTGATAAAGACTCCTGTACTTTAAATTTTCAATAATTGTATCTACTCCAAACAACTTCGATTTCAAGTGTTTGTTCCACTGCATTCACCATGGTCAATTCCGAACACCATCATGTTAAAAGACGAAGCCGTTTCGGAGGTGAATTGTCCGGATGTAGCGGTCTTGAATGGGCGTGGTCACCCGTAGTCTTCAGTTTCTCCGACGTAACCGATGCATCAGCCTGGTAGCATTTATACGGGCTCATCCAAACGTTCTCGTAATGACGGCGTGCGGCGCCCCCTGTTGATTTCAACGGCTCTCTCCCTCTCTATAGCCGTTAAGGGGGCACGGGTGGCCTAGTCGTCTAAGGCGCCGCGATTCGCTGTGCAGAGTTGCGTCCCTTGGGCACGCCAGAAACCTATGATTGTGGGTTCGAATCCCGGTTCGCCCCGATTATATTTCTAGGTTTGTCAGCACCATACCCGTGCTCGTGGGTTTCACCCAAGTGGTAAACGTCTGAGACCTGCATCACTTCGGGCTTTCCTCCCACATTAAGCTGACACGCCGCGATATAACTGGAATACTGTTAAAAGCGGCGTTAAAAACCCAACTCACTCACTCACTCACTATAGCCGTTAAACGTCCCATTTCTTTGGTGTCCCGTTTTTCCCACGGATTACATTTGGCTTGGTACGTGTGATATTTTTGAGTATGTTTTCATATAAACAAATAAAGGTATTGACAATGTTTCTTAGTGCTGGAAATGTACCACATTAAATGCTTTACACATACTATCTCCATTAAATAGTGCTGATGCATTGCATGTGGTTCTCATTCCAGGTGTCTAAATTTATCTACTTAGTAGTATAGGTGCCTACAATTTCTTATAGAAGCACTCTGTTAGTGCTATGAATACATTAGATAAATACATATATGTTATATCTATTAACAGACATCGCACGTGAAAATCCTGAAATGCAGTTCTTCCTTCCTGGTCAAAACCCTGGAGCTAAAGCCAATTCTTGACAAATTGTACAAGTTCAAAATATTCTCTGAGGAAAACAAGCAGGACTGTATTTCAAAGGAGGGGACAACTTCTCAGATTAAAGAGTTTATCTCAATCCTCGAACGGAAAGGAAGAACGGACTTTGATATATTTTTCTCTATTACTTATAATGATAATTCTTATTCGTAAACCATAAGGGTAACATTGCATGTATTAAGCAAAGCATATAATTCATAAAATAGTTAATGTTTAAGGCATCACCATGGAGTAACAAATCACGGACCTTGAATTCCATCTCACAGTTATCTTCAGTGGGTTTCTCACCTACAAGTGTGTATGAAAAGTAGGTCCTGCTTGGTGACGGATCTGATACCAAGTGAATAGGAATGATGTGTTGCTTCTATAAAACCATTAGTTTTAATGATGCGAGTTATGCCATTTGTAAGAGATGAACGCATCTAAGCGAGTAAGTGAGCTCGAGTTCGGTTGTTTCAATGTTATTCCAGGCATAATAAAGCAGGGGAAGAACTGGCTTCACATATTGTTTCCGTTTGAAAGATATTCGAGGGCATCAATTGTAATTTTACTTACTGTATCATGGTGAGAGGTCTTTCTATTTACTTCAGGAAAATGACAACCGGAAGAAGGATATTGCAAGTTTGCAAGGAAAGGTAGAACAACTCCAGGAGTCTCTTGCGCAACTAAGGAAAGAGAAGGCTGACAGTGACATAGAAAAAAAGCTGCTGGAGCAGAGGAATAAATATCCTGAAGGGGTAAGTCTAACTGAGGAATTGCTATGGAATTTGAGCCAACCATAGAGTGATTTGTTTTTGTTAAATTATTTACAGACAACCGTCATATAGCTGGAATATTGCTGAGTGTGGCGTTAAACTTGTTTCATGACCATGTGCTTGCCAGAGCTTACACGTGAACCAATCGCAAATGTTGACAAATCATACTAGGGGTGCATTTCACAGTAGGTAAAGTCAGGATGTGACGTCAGTGGTAGAATGCACAATCTGAAAAAAAGAAACAGCAATGGAATAAACCTATCCCAGCCAGCTGTCATCAAAAGTCTGGCTGCCATACGTGAAAAGCTTGTGTAAGTTCCCATTTACAAGGCCTCCTATGCCACAGCCATTATATGTTTACATAATTACGTTAAATGTTTGATGAGTTTGATCAGTACTATCAACTTTTGGATTCTATAACCAGATGGTATGTCCATTCGCTTGTATACTGGATTCCAATCATCCACAAATTCCAAAGAGATATATACTGGAAGGCCCAGCAAGTGTTCCTCCAAATCTGTGTGTCACAGATTAACCATAATTCACAAAACATTCAGGGACTTTATTCACAGAAAGTATTTGAGACAAGTGGAATCTATGTGGATTCTCAAAACAGTTACAATCTAAAAAAGAACCAATCTTTCAACTACGTCACCATGGATAGATATTTGAAAAACCTTATTTGTCCAAACACTGTATACATACTTTGAGACATATTAAAAAGATGAAACTTGGAAAGACTGATCATCAAGGTTGACATTATAGTGTCAGATATTCTTAAAGTGAAACACAACACTAGTCTCTCAGAATGGCATCACAAGTCAGTATCTCGTGTGTCCGCCATGTGCATTGATGAATGGAATGGATGAGGAGGTTGATTAAGGCCATAGACACTTGATCCCACACTCTGAGGAACGCCTGACGCAGTTCAGCTGCAGTTGTCGGCCTTGGTCGGACGTCATTCAGCCGTCTTTGAATTTCGTCCCACGGGTGCTCAATGGGATTTAAATCGGGACTGAGGGCAGGCCACTGCATGGTTCTGATGCCATTCTGGTGGAGGAACTCTCTTGTTGCTTTTGTAGTGTGGGCTCGGGCGTTATCATGCTGAAACTCGTGGTTGCGGCGACGTGCCAAATGAGTTATGGCGTGTAGTCTCAAGACTTGATCAATGTACCGAGCTGCTGTGACACCATTGCCTCTCCCTGGATGATGCTCGACCACCCCAATAGTCTCTCTCAACAACACAAGCGTCCGAATAACGTTTCACACGGCGTCGCCAGACTCTCTCTCTCTCTCTCTGCCATCTGCTGTTGAGATACAGTAATAGCTCTCATCTGAAAATAAGACTCTTCTCCAATGCTGGTGGCGCCAATGCTGGTGCTGTGTTGTCCCGGCGATGACGTGGTGTCAGAATCGGTCCTCGGTGTGGCCTGTGACAGTAGAGGTGTCTGCTCGTCAATCGTCGACGCACGATGTGCGCACTAATGTGTCCATGGTGTGTCCCTATGGTCTGTCGAGCAGTCTCCGCAGCAGTAACAAAGTGATCTTGAAGATGCTGTCGCACAATGTGATGATCCTGACGTCGGGTGGTGACCCTTGGTCTTCCACTACGTGGTCGGTCATCTGTAGTGTTGTTGGAGCCTGTCTATGATCCAGCAATTCAACAGCAAATGAATGTTTTCCGATCTGGGCTGATTTTTATAGGGCAAGAAATGGGGGAATATATAGGCATTTCAATTTGCATGGAACTGAAGTGCATCGGGTTACCATGGCCGTTGCCACGATGCGTTTTGGCGATCGGTTTTATTGTCATCTGCTTTGTTTTTTTATCATCAAATTTCATTTTTCTTGACAAGGTAATATTAAATTTTAGAAACTTTGACAAAAATTACCCAGATATTTAAATGACAATGCTTCATACAATGTTACTTTGGGTGACGTTTCTTTTGCGTTTTTTGTAAAAAGCACACACGACGAATTGTAAAAAATGAAAGCAAATTCCATCTGAAGTTAACTGAGAGCACATTATGTAAAATGCAGAAAACATTTCCAGGACATTGAATCAATAAACAGACATGCCCATAGGGACCGATTATGCTCCAAGCGTTTGGCAAATTAGTTTAACTTTCGTATATGCTTCACTTATATCGACGATCTGACATCGTTTAATAATGGCCAATTAGCCAATTTCCCACTGATCTACAAATCTGAAAAGGTGATAAGCCAGGGTGACAAAACTATCCACAAGATTGTATGACAAGTGGGAGAAATTTCACTTTCCGATAGTCCCTTTTGTAGAGCAAATTTCGAGTAGCTCCAGCTTTGTGATGTCCACATTTAATGTTTGAAGCACAATCGAGAGTGCTCTTTTACAAAGATTTCAAAGAGCTCTGTAGGACGGTTTGCAAAAACATATTTTGATAAGGGTTACAACATTCTAGACCTAGGTAAAACTTTCATTTTTATGCTTAGACGTGTGAAGGCCTATTACTAAATTTGATTAATCAGTTACCAAAATGTCCAATGCAATTTCCAATTTTGACTCCTACCATATGTTATTCTGTTTATGTGAACACGGAACTTGACTTTGAATGTGTTTGTGAAGAATGCTATCACTAATTGACAGTGAATCATAAACATATTCTTATGATACTGTCTAATTTGTACAACGGACTCAGCTTTTGGCAGAGATTTCTTGGGGTTAATGGAAATGTTTTTTGTCTCTTTTAGTTATTTTTATTTTTATGAAAAGTTTTTTTTAGCTTTTAAATTATACTGAACATAAAAAACGTGACTTTTACATCAACTGAACAAATTCAAACTCTTTGATATCCGGTTAACTATATTATGAGCCGTGGTAGGAGTACAATGAATTATGATATGATATGATGTGTTATGTTTGTCATTTGTATTTTTGTTCAGGTGCAAAACTTGTCTGGAGATGAAACCCCTGACAGAGAACGTATCAAAAGCTTACTTGAATCCCTTTCAAATATGGGTAATAATATTTGTATGTCACTTATAATATATCGAATTTAGGGCACATCATACACATTATAATGTTTTGATTCAAGAAAAAAGTAAACATGTATTGAAATTGTAAAGGCTGTATTATTTATTTAACTTACGATAACAAATTATTTTTTCTAGCACTTCTCACTTGTTAGGTATTTCCCACAATGTCACACCTCATCTGCTGAAGTCGACTGCAGTGGACAACACCTTTGTTCTACAATGTGAGTATTCTGGTGTGTTCTAACAGGTTGGTATAATACACTTGTTTGCAAAGACTATGGTGGTAATACTTTAAACATATGTCATATGACCAGACTACGTTGTGCACGTCAGAAATGACAGATTTATTCAATCGTTCCTTCTGAGAAACGAACCAGAAGTTTTGGAAATCGAAACCGCGTTGAAAACAAAATATTTTGTTACGAAACACGTCAGAGAAGTTGAAAAGTTGAAAATACAACGCATTTATAACAGAATGGATATGTGAAAAGGACAGAAGAAAAAAATATGTGCCAAAAGCGATTAGATAGATTGTTATCATTTCTGATTGCTTCATCGTATTATAAAACATGTAGCCTATGATCGATTGTTTTTCATACTACTTACATTGAATTTGGTTGTTTAGGACCCGTGATCCTGATTAGTTACTATATTAAAAGTTTTAAATAACTATCATTTGTTGTGCAAAAACAGATACACATTTAACTTTCCAGTCAACCACTGTCATAGGCAAAACGTTAATCTGATATTTATTATGAGGTACATATAGGACTGGGAATCTATCGCTATCGAGTACTCCCGGCTGTTATTTACTATCCAGATTATCCGCTGACTGGCTCGGTGTTTGAACTAGTTTGAATATATATTTTCTGACGTATTAATGTGTGGGAAAGGACAAAACTGACAGTGCAAACTGCATGTCACAGGGCGTGACCACCTGATCCATGTTTTAGTTTCCTCTTGCGACAGGTTTCACATTATTGGGACCATTGGGAGAAAATACTCAAGACATTATACTCATGCTACCGTTTGGGATAGAATGATGACAAATTGTACTTCGTGGGGTTACCATGTTTCCGCAATTGTTGATGACATATTTATATATCTTCAACACACTGGTATGTAAAAGTGTTTTATACATTGTAATTGTTCTAGATGCTTCCAAGCGTCTGAAACACACGTTGGTGATTTTTTTTTAGATTCACATCGTTAGAATATGCAGGTTATGTCCAAAGGTCCTTCAGGAAATCAAGTTATCTCCTTACCGTGGATGATCAAGTTTTAGTCATGCCATTATAACTCTATAGGTTTTTAGCCTAATCTCAGGCTTGTCATGATACGGTATCGGACATGAATAGCTGGTAATGAATAGTACAGTTGTTGACACTGACCGTGGAAAACAGGGAACCAGTCATTTGTGGCAATCAATATGTCGTTTTCTGCTGGAATAGCTGTAAATACTCAATTTCGTCTCACAACTAGTGTATTACAAATGTGGCAACTGTAACAGTCTCATAACAAACACGTTGCTTTCGAGAAGCTTCGTTATTGCATAACATTCCATTTATTGAAGGGTTTATAACATTTAGTGATATGTCCCTGTCGATGTTTATTCATTTCTTGGACTAAGGTGTACCCTCACTTCATGAGGGAGTGAGTGAGTGAGTGAGTGAGTGAGTGAGTTAGGAGATAAACCTACTGTGTTTTGAATTTTTTTAATATTTCCACTGTAGAGTAGATATCTCTTATTTAAATTTGGAACTGAGCGCTTTAGCAACAGTGGGACTACATCGAATTTCAAAACATGGAAGGTTTATCGCTTTTCTACCATGAAGGCAACAACGCTTTGAAAACGTTATTCTCTTGCAACACGTAACAGAACCGGGCACAAAGGTCTGCAATATTAGAACATTCCGACAAGTGACAACAGGTAGTAAAATGTGTAACAGATATGAATAAAGCTCATCATTTAAATACCCATAGTCTTGGGAAATTCAAAATACATGTAGGTTTTCATAACACATAGTTTTTCAAAAACCCACCAAACTTAGTCCAAAGATAAATGTTTATTTTCATGGCAACCTGCTCTGCGCTGGTTCGACTCAGCGAGTCATTTCTTGGAAATCAACGAGAGAAGTCATTTTTTGGAAATCGAGTCTGCCATTTCCATTGTAGGGGTGACAGGTTGTTAAATAGTTATAAAAATGCTGAACGAATATAGTTCTCAAAAAAACTTTTTGAATTATCATTCTACTATTAATTTTACATGAGTAAGTTTTATTAGGTTTGCAATTACCCCAGTAGATAATTGAAAAGAACAAAATAAATGCCTCTCCACCTCGAACTTGGATGTGGCCGAACTTGACCTAAATCACGCTTACTCACTTCTCACAACTGGCAATGCCTGACAGTGTTGTGATAACATTTTGTGCCTCAGACAAGTTACTAGAGCAAGATGACAACCCCGATCTTTGATGTGGTTCAGCATTAACCTGTAGATTTAGTGGAAATGAGCCTGCTGGTGCAATGCGATTGCCAATGGAACTGAGTATGACTGATGAAGCCGCTTTTTAGGCTAAAGACAAGCCGGCTATTTTGACACAGGAATCTGCATGATTTGACCTGTCACTTTCAAGATTTCAGGGATTCAAAGCCTATGTGTGAAAGCAATGATACCTTTGTGACTCAGACATAGTGGTTCGTGTATGAGTTTCATTATTGTGCTTGTCCTGAAATGAATTTCATCAAGTTAGAAAAGCTGTGACTTCAGTGATGTCGGGACTGACGTCACAGCGTTTCAAACTTGATGAAATTCATTTGTCATTGTTTTCGTGGCATTTCGAAGGGACCAGTGTTTTCTGATGGACTTTCAAATCAGTCATTGTCGGTTATTGCATCGAACATGTCCCTAAAAGTTTCATAAACAGTTAATTTGCATGCAAAAAAAATGCCTTAGTAAAGTATTGTAATCTCATCATCGAAGCAGTCAGGGTTACGGTCTAGAACATCCAATATCAAACTACCGTACTTCCTCTATTAGACGCTGGGCCGTCTATTTATTTCGCGGGAACCCTTGACACGGCGTGTAATGGAGACCTGCCTTGTATTTGACACCCGGCGTGTAATAGGGGAAATATATATACGTTTTACAGTTTACATAGGGCCGATCGATCGGCAGCCATTTTTGTATGAATCGATATGTAGGCTATGGATGTATTCATACGCACGGTTTTGTGTGTGAAAAGGCTTGATATATTTTAAAGGGGTTTCCCTTGCAAAAAGGCTCTTTTTAACTAATCAGAATCAAGCATTCATCAATGTCATGGACGAATATGGTTTTATGCCACCTTTAGCAATATTCCAGGAATATCACGGCGGGGGACACCAGAAATCAGCTTCACACAAGGTACGCATTTTGGGGAATCGAGCCCGGGTCATCGACGCGACGAGCGAACGCTTTTATTACTAGGCTACCCCACCGACCCCTCACTTCATGAATAAGAATAATGCTGCTAAGGTGTATTGTCGTTAAATGAAACAGAGACAGATAGATTTAAAAGAAACACAGTTCACTTCATAATCCTCGAAGACAAGGCTCAGAAGTACTCTCTCTCTTGCAGCAGTGGGGGCAATAGACATTTTATTTGAGGCATAAACTTTAAAAGAAGCAAGTCTAGATTTTCCTCAGGTGCTGAGTCTCCCATCTCATTTGGTGCTCCTTTTAAATGGATTTATTTTATTCTATCAAACTTACATATTTTAAGAGACTAAGCGTCAGTCTAGCCCACACCTACACATGCGTGTCGTGGGAGGCGACGACAGACAAAGACGTTTATTCACATAAATAGGGCACCGTTAACCCATTAAAATATCATCGCAGGTTCTGGCAATGTGACAGTATTAAATCTGGGCTTCTTGCGTTGAGCCGCAACACCACATGAGTTAAATTACACAATCTCGACAAAATTACATGGTAGATTGAGCCATCCGTTCGCTAGTAGTTCATTTGTATGTAGTATTATGTCATCATTTCTTAGGATTTGTGATGATACCTATTGTAAGAAAAAGGAAAAAAACGTGCCGACAGGTCTGTATGGTGATACCTTATATATTCGGAGCATCACTAACAATTACACAGCCGAATTGCACATGTTTTTGATAAGGTGGGTTGTGTCTATTGACAAATGACAAATTGTCAACGCATTTGTATTTACTGTCTATAAAATAATTAAATAATACTACATAATTATAAGTTTTGATATTACTGAAGAGCTGCGCGCGATCACGATGATGTTCAGACGATGGGGAAATCTCCCTCTGGTCCATATAACTGAAATCGACTAATTAAACATTTGCACCTCGATTTGTTACAGCACAAAGTTAGCTGTACAGTCTACACAATCGCGTCATTACAGTTTACATCGGGATTTCAATTATTTCAGAAAAATTAAGAACAAAATGATGCTTACTTGTGGTCTGCAAGTAATACCAGTCGATACTTGAACACTAAGCCTCTGGTCACACTTTAAAGCTATTTGTTGTTTTTCATAAATAATTATGTCATTGTTGGTCCCTTTGAGTATTCGACGCTAAATATGACAAAACACCCAATATGAATTTTCTCCTTTCAAACACTTTGTATCATTTCTTTTGGACATTAGTGTATGTAGCTATCGTGAACCATACTATTATCATTCAACCTGGATGTATCCTAGTTCTTGTTGCCAGGGACATCCAGAATATATCCCCATGCATATAAGACAGCTTTGGCCTAGATCAAGTTACTCTCAGGCCTCGATATAGGGAATTAGCTTTTGGGAGGTGGCCTTGAAACAAGAGAGGAGAGAGCTGAGAGGTCCATGGTTTATACAAGCAAGTGTCATATAATTCAATCATATATAATATGACATTCAATGATAATAATAATGATAACACTATCCCAATACAGTTTCAATCTTGGCCTGGGTACAAATGCAATGTATGTTATATTGGAGTGTGTACGGTAGTAAATACGCACAAAGTCATTAATACAAATGATACAACATTTACTAGAGTAATAACGGTAATGACAAATAACATAAGTTTCTAAGTAATGATATAAACAGCTAATAATAATGCCTTTTGGTAATATTATCGTAATACAGTTTCCAGTCTAGTAAGCAATGCAATGTATGTTATATTGGAGTGTGTACGGTGTACGATAGCGTTATTATACAAGGGA